TCATCATAACGCGAAGTTATTTTGGCCTTAATTTGTAAAATTTTTCAAAATTTGGGCTTTTATTTGTAATTATTTTCATTTTGGGCCCTTATTTGTAATTATTTTCATTTTTCGGGCCCTTATATTTAAATTCCCCAAAATAATAATCCAAACAAAACAACGAACAATAATAGTAATAGCAAACATCTGCCCCGCTATGTTTGCACACAGTGTTTTGATACACAAGGTGGCCATTTATTTCAACGTTTAGGTAAAGGAAAAGATCCTTTCTCATGTAAAGACAAACATAGGGATGACACAACACAAGCGCTTGATCTTTTGGGACAATGGATCCTTAACATAGCAGCATCAAACAATTCTGAGTACAAAGAACAATTATTAACATACCTTAATTCAACTTTATCAATTTTTGATAAAACTAAATCACATATTTCAGAACCACCTAGTCTTTTATATGTTAAAACAGCTCTCCGTCTTGGACAAGTAAATCTTATAAAAATAATGGAAGATGATCATAATCTTACACCTGAAAAATCGAAAAAGGTTGGAGAATCATTGGGAATTGTAACATGGAAATCTCGACATGAAGTGCGTCAGAATAAAGAAATTCTTGAAAATCCAAATTCTTTGGCTGAATATCAATCTGCCTTTCCAGGTTGTCTTTCGGGGTTTTTTAATGGTCTTTTTACAATATTACAAAAAAAAAAACATGATATTGTAAATAAAAAAAGAAAGCAAAGGGGATTAGAAGTTAAACCTTTTGATCAAGCTCGTGTAGAAAAAATTTCAGTGTTTTTTATTTCAGTTATTCTCACTACTGCTTTTCCAACTACTGATATTTGGCTTACACATGTAATGAGCTCTTTAGCACGCAAGTCCAAATTGTTAACATCACTTTATAGTATCTTATGTTCAGCAAATGTATTATCTCATACTCAACGATATGAACGACGGTTAGAAAAAGATAGAATGATTAAGGCAAATCCTAATCAAAGGTTAATAAAAGGTGAAAATATTTGGAATGTATCAGTTATTGACAACATTGATTTTAAAGAAAGCACATTTAAGTATGGTAATATTTTCGATGATACTCGTAGCACTTCACATGCTACATTACGATTAGTCTTTCAATTCACATTACCAAAATCACTCAAGTCTTTTACTAATTTAAATCAACAAGCTAGTGATAATATATTGTTTGGTGAATCAGAATTTATTAAACTTCAATATTCCAAACATGATAATATTTTTAAAAAGCTCATAAATTCGAACTCAAGTAATTGGGATATTGATAATGTATATCATGAACTTACAAAAGATGTTCCTTTAGGATGCCAGGTTCCCCGCCCTAATCTAGTTATCCTTACCCCAGGCGACCAACCTAATTGTGACTTAAATGTACATAATTCTTGTGAAATGTATTTTAAAGACCTTCAACTTTCAGAAAATGATTATTTAGATATTGTATCTGATGAAGCGATTTTCCGTAGATTAATTTTATATAAAGATTTAAAAAAAGATAAAGCTATTCGATTACTTTTAGGTCAGTGGCATGCATCAAAAGCGATGTGTGCTACTATAATTACTATCTTTTCGGGATATGGGATTTTTTCTCTTGCTGCATCTCTTGGGGTCCGTTATTTAGATAAACTTGAAAAAGTGGTTGATTATGATGCTACTTTTCATGTTCTAGAGTTAATATGGATGGCAGTAGGAATTGCACTAAGTATTTAAAAAACAGAAATCGTAATGAGATTATAAGTGAGATTGAAAAGGAAAATAGCATAGTAAAAGTTTGGTTTCTGTATTTTCGTTGGATGGGATATGTTATTAATCATAAAATAGGAATACGAAGAGCAAATCATGATTTACAGTTTTATTCTTTGCAAGCATTTGCCCCACTTTTTTTTGTTGCTGGTAAAAGCAATTACGCACGATCATCAACTCATTATCTAGCTCAAGTTCTTAAAGATCCTTTATTACAAGAATTACTTAATTATGTATGTTCAGTAAACCTTACACGTCCTGGCCACTATTTCGCATTTGATGAAGCATTGGAGGTTTTTGGAGTGAAGTTCATTAAACAGAACATTAAAACAAATATAATGGATAGTGAACAATTAAAATTATTAATAGCATCAGTTCAGTCTGAAAGAGATAGAATACAAACACTCTTATCTGAATATATAGGAGACATATTTACAATTAATAAAGATCGTAATGTACAATCACGAAAAGAAGCTATATGGAAACTTGTCGAAAGCCTATTAGCTGCATTTCAACTACCTGACCCAACAACTCATGAACTTTTTGTAAATACAATGGAAATAAATGAAACAGGGTTTTCTCTTCTTTCATCATGTTATATGGAAGGAATAAACAGGCAAAATTCTCTCTATCGTCAAGAAATTTTAAAAGTTGAAAAAAGAGTTGTTAAAGGTCGAAGACGGCATGATATAAATGTATATAAACTATCATCTTTGTTAGATAATATCAATAATAATAAGGATAAAAAAAGAAAATGTATGGATAGTATAATTAGTAAAACCATTATTAATAATAGCAATGAGTCTGAACCACCTTCTAAACGTATTCGCCGACCCACAAGTAATAATGCGAAAGAAATTCTTTCTCAGTTACTTACTTGTAATTCTTTTTCTGATGATGACAAATTATTGTATGAAGTTCTTCATAAACTTCAGGATGTAGATCCAGGTTGGACAAAAGAGCGTGTTATCATGTATTGGAGAAATCACAAAAAATAAATAAACAAATTGTATAAAAAATCTTTCAATTTTTATTATTTAAAAAATGATATATTTAATACATTTAAACTAGTGATGGGAAAAATGCGCATTTTATAATAACATGCGCATTAATGCGCACGTAACGTTTCATGCGCATGATATCGCATGATAAAAAAAATGCAAAAAAAAGAAAAAACGATCGAGAGGAGAGAAATCTTGATGGGATAAAATGCGCATGAAGCGGAATCATGCGCATGATTCCGAAATCATGCGCACGCATGAAACCCATCTCTAATTTAAACTCCATAATACCAGACAAAAAAAAAAAATTACAGTATCTCAAGGGCCAAAATAGAACAATAGTTTGTTTAACGAACTTCAAAATCTTCAGTGCTCCATCAAGAGCAAATAAATCTTTCAGTTTAATGCTTTCGCTTATATGAATCCCTACAGAGTTGTTAGTAATATTTAATTAAAAGATATTAAAATAGATACCATATAAGCGTGTAATAACGTATATTTGCGCGTTATTTCGAGACTCTGTGCGTTAATTCGGAACGCACATGCGCGATAATACGAATCATTATCTTAATTTTGAAGAAAAAAGTTACAACTACTAAAAACTTTCCTGAGACTATGTAGGCAGGTCGCGTTATTTCGGGACGCGCATGGGAGTTATTTTGAGTCAAGTATGCGATTTTCAAAAAAATGGAATTTTTGAAATAACGCCCATGTGCGTTATTACACGCCTATACGGTATCAGAAAAATTACCAATATTAACAACATTATAATGTAATGCATCTTTCATTTAAATTTTCACTGATATCTTTCATTTTTTTATGTCAAACTATCTTACCCGTAGAGTACTCTGCTGTTTTTACTCGATCAACCATAATCAGGCAAAGTTTTGTCAATACCCAAGATCAAACATTAATAACAAAATATATACAGCGTGCATAACTGAATATATCACCACTCAAATACCTTTTTTTTATTTGTAACTATGCCCACACCATAACCATAGAAGTATCAAAGATTATATCGTCGTCCACGGAAATCACCACCTTTAGTAGATTTCGAATGTCTTCTTTTCGCCTTTGCCTATGTATTTTGTTATCATATTCTGATAAAGCATTAGAACTTAGAATAGCTACCTTCAGCACTCTAAAACCACTTAAAAAAATTTTTTTTTATCCTTAAAAGTGTCTTACTACACCTGTAATAGTGATAGTAACGAATGAATTGCAGTGTCTTTGAACGAAAGATCTTTTTCGGTTTTCGACTCGTTAAGGTTGGTAGGCTTTTTATTAAAACAAGAAAAGCTTTGGGAGTGATAAGCATTATAACGTAAAGGTATTTTAAGTTGCACTTTATGGAACTAGTATAGAGACGAAAATTACATCGTGCTTAATTTTATTAGAAAAAACGTAAAAATGTGCGTGTCGATCTTATAGTAAAATACGTTACACAAAAAATTAAGGGACATTTCCACTGATCGTTACCAGAACCGACGTAGTTTAAGGGATTACTAAGCTCGTTTTTACCGCATGTAAAGCTTGTTTATTTAGAGGCAAATCCAGAGCCCCAAAATAATAATGCGATTACCTGCCATATGCACAACGTCTAATATAATTTTATAGAAAGGCGTAACGAAATATCTCCATATTTGTCATAGACCAGGCATATGACGGAGATGCAGAGCGCCGTTTTACCTTTTACGTATCAGCTTTCTCAATTTTTCATATGTACCCACTTAAATCCAAACTAAATTTTCCTCTAATTTCTCTCTCCCTTTTCTAAAAACAGTGGTCACTTACTTTGACGCTTCATAATCAATTGCAAAAGTGTTTACTAATCTTCTTGAGCAGGACATCGGCTCTGGGGTTACTTCGATCCTAACGGCTCGTTGATTTGTATCGCTTTTGACCCCACCCATTAGTAATAAAAAAAAACATGCAAGCGTCTAACCCCACTAATTCGAAGGCCTTGAAACGAAATTTGCGTAGGAAGTTACGGCGAACTAAGAAGGTGAAGCTTGGAAAACAGACCAACCCGTCAATGGATAATGAAATCACCCCTAGCACCAACGATGATATCAATCATAATGATTGTGAAGGCGATGATAGTGACAAACAAAAAGAAATATTTTATAACCCTCAAAAGGTAGGTCATTAGTGTGCAGTAGGGAATATGTTTTTAGTATTGTAACAGTAAAGTTCGGCTTGAAGAATAGGGGCAGTCATCGCCTTTCGAGGCAGGTCTAGGGGCCGATTGAACCCTCCCTTAAAAAGCTCTACTTTATTTTAATTCAATTTTTCTTGGGCGTGATCGTCGTCTTTCTAAGCAAGGTGTATGCGAGGAGAGGAAGGTCACGAAGACTTCCCGCGGTTTAAAACCACTGAGCTACATTGCAAAGAATGATTTGATTGTATCCACCGGAAAATTTTGATATAGATTAATCGAAAATATGAACTCAGATTGACAATCTTATTTTATTATAATTTAGCATAAAACTCAAGGAGAGACGCGCCTGTCTACAAAGGATCAATCACGCGAATATATACGCTCCTTTTGGGTATCTGAAGATTTTTTGGCCGAAGATCTTAAATCAATTAATAAATCTCAAATGACTAATGTTATAAGCCCCCAATTTACATTTATAGAAAAGTTTCTAGAGAAGAGGACGCAACGCCAGATTGTTAAAAAGTTGATTGATAGTAAACTATTTCCTCTAAATACGGTAAAGCCTGACACTTTCACCCTTAAACTTAGTGCTCTTTCTAACTCCCAGTTAGATATACTTTCGAATGCTAGTCGTAGTGAATTATACGAAAACAATGATAGTAATAAATTCTTACTTTTCCAAAAAATTCCTTCAGATTTTATGTATATATTAGAATCTAATATTTTTAGCCTAAATAGTAATAATAAAAAAAATACACTTGATTTAGAAGTAGATAAGTGGGGAGAATTTGCACGTTGGGCGCATTTTTTTATTGGACCAAACTTCAAAAAAAAGTTTCGCCACCATTGCCATCGCTTATGGTATAAAATTGAGCATGCGTACCTAAGTGCAAGAGATCAGAGTAAAACCCTTGAGCATAATATTCATGAAATATCGCTACAAAACCCGCAGGATAAACTTAATATCGCAGAGGATATGACGAAGAGAGTTATGTATGAAATCGATTTTAAAGATTATCATCACATCTTCAAACCACAATGTTTTAAGAATGTATTCGGAGAGACTATGGTCGATTTTTTCGCTCTCTCTGATCTTATAGTTGCAAAAAAGTCTCTTAAGATAGTAGATCAATATTACACTCACACTCTTGCCCACCCCTCCCACCAATCTAAGCAGTTCTCTAAGTACCTGATAGAATATTTTGGTGGTTTTACTGGTAGCAATATTGAACCCTATACTACGGCTAATACCATCTCTAGCCATTGCCTGGAGCATGTAGGGTGCGTCCATGAGCTAATCAAGGGTCTACAACCGCTTTCTAATATGGTCAACAACTATATTCATAACACTTATCCAACCTTATATGCTAAGATGGAGAAGCTCAATCTTGGGCCCAACGTTCCAAAATCTTTTGGAGCTTTTCCCACAGTTGCTATCAACTTTAATGCCATTTCCCAATTCCATAGAGACTTGAAAGACCATCGCAATACACTATGTGTGGTTTGCCCCCTCGGTGAGTTTGAAGGTGGGGAATTAACATTTCCTGAACTAGGGTTAGTTGTTCATGCCAAGCAAGGTCACGGGGTTGCTTTTCGTTCTAATATCTTAATCCACGGGAACCTCCCGATCATTGCTGGAAATCGACATAGTATCGTTTTTTATATACATAACACTGTCATCAAACAAAAGCGGATGTTCGGTTCTCTTTTTGCCGATTGCGAGTTGGATAGGAATGGCAATGAGGATGATAGTGAAGGTGAGCAGGTGCCAAAATATCTCCCCCCTAAATTAGGCACTCGAATAAAATTAAAAAATAATCGACGGAGTCACATTGGTAAGTTCAATAGTTCTATAGAATTCATAATAAAATAACTTCATATCCGCCAAAAACGGGCAATGCTAATATACATTCTCATTAAAGATTTGGAGCCAGCAAGGCAAGGATTTCCAGCAAAATATAAAAATAAATGAAAAACAATAAAGTTTTGCTTACATTTCGAACTTGTGTATATGCTTGTGTATTGTGTAAATTGTATATGATTTTTTCATATTTCATGTCTTGCATTTATTTCATTTCTAATCAACTATGTCAACTGGTGTGAGTGGAATATCTATATATAAGAACCCTATATATTACTGAACCTTTAATATGAGTTATTTCGAATGCACAAAAAATGAATCCAGATATTCTATAGTATATCGTACCAAATCTAATAGGTCAAAAACACTAAAATCGCTAAATATACAGTATTATTCTCCATAATCAATAAATATGTCTGGTTTTGATATTGCAACCATTCTCGATAAAAAAGATAGAACGCTACCCAAACCCTTTTAACATTCGTCCTGGATATGATATGAAATATGTCGTGTCATATATTGGAAATTATTTTGCTTTTGATGGAAAACGATACGACAAACTCTTCGATAATAAGAGATCGTTTGATTAACTTTGTTGATAAATTTTTTAAATAATTATTTTCTTTAGAATTTTGTATTAAAATCTAAAGATAGACAAAATATTAAAATTATAGAAGGTAAATATTAAATTTTTATTTAAAAATCAAAAATTTATTTAAATTTAATCAAAGTTTAAAAGAAAATAAAAACAAAATAATTATAAAAAAATAATATAATTTATATTAAAAATATTTAAAAATATATATAGTAACTATAAATCCATTTTTAAAAATTTAATTTTACCGCTATTATTATTTTTACCAGTGGCATAAAATTTTCCACTCCGTTCAGAACTAGGTAAAATTTTTTGTAATTCAAATTTTTGAAATAATTTGTTTTTAAAAATTTGATAAAGATTGTGATTTATAATTTTAAATTTTAAAGCAGCATTTCTATATTTTTTTATATATTCTAAATTTTTCCATCCTTGATTATTCTTTATTATTTCACGATGTATAAAAAAATATAATTCAAATCTAGCAGATTTTGTTTTATATTCAGCTCTTGAAAGTTTACAGAATATATAACGATTAGGCTGTAAGCATTCTGTTATCTTTTCTTCAGTTAATTCTAAAATATTTGTATAATTATAGTTTCTTTTGAAATATTTTTTAGGTATACTTGTAATGCATTCTTTAATAAATAATTTCCAAATATCATTAACTAATAAATTCATTTCATTAATAATAGAATCATCAATACTATAATTAGAATCATAGCTAATTTCTTCATCAGTATTAATATTATTATTATCATCATTATTATTATTATTATCCTCATCATTCTCATTATCAGCATCATAATTATCAATTGCCATATTAGAATCAGTAGCTAATTGAATATTTCTAATTCGTTGACTAATAATATCTTCTTCTTCTTCATTATTATTAGATAAAGAAAAATTAAAATTTTGTTTAAAATTTTTCGAAGTAATCTTAATTTTGCAGTTTTGAATTTGAATTTGATTTATCGGTAACCAAGCTATATTATAATTATGAATTGTTTTAAAAAATTCTAATGTTCCATCATTATTTGAATTATTAATATTTGAAGTTCCAAAATATTTATATGAATAAGGTATTGTTTTTATACTATGAAATATAGATTTCATTAACATATATAAACTAATTTTATAATTTACAAGTTCAGGACTAAAGGATTTTTTTAAAGAACGATTATATGCATTTAAATAAACATTTAATAGTTTATTTTTAAAATTGCATATAATATCTGTTGGAATAATAAAAAATGGATTGGTTTGTAAAAAAATATTTAAATCATTCTCTTCTATTAATTTTTTAGCAAATTGTTCAGTTATTTGATATGATAATCTATATTCAAGCCGTGCACCAAAACTAATACTTTTAGAATTATTTAATATTTGATCAATATTCTTACAAGTATTTTGTATTTTTAAAGAATTATATACTGCATCATAATCGGTTAAATTTAAAAATAATGCTGGTTGTGAAGCAGTAAGTGGTTCTTTGTCAATATGATATGTTTGTACATAAAAAATTCTACAATTATCTTGTACAAATTTACTAGCTTCACCAGAAGCACCAGCAATATCATAAGTATGTGTCCATTCAAAAATTCCTGAGGTTGGGCTACTAAACGCTAAAGTTGCACCAATTTTTTTAACAAGATTAATAGAAGTTTCTCTTTTCCAATATACTGATGTTGGTGTATTTTTAGTTGATATAAATTCAATTCCTAAATCAAATTTTGCGAGATTTTTCCATGTAGAATCGGAATCATCAAAATTTTTTGTAATAAAATTTAAAGATTTTTTAAATTTATCTATATTTTTAAATTTAGTTGAAAGTTTTAAATTTTTAGCGTAAATATGAAAAAAAAAATCTTCGAAAACTATTAATTGGGGATTTTTACTAATGTTATTTCTAATATTATTTCTCATAATATCAACTAAATTTTGTAAATATTCATTATCAAGACTATAACTATCATAAATATAAGTGTTTTGTGTTATTTTTTTAGATAGATTATAATGTGATTGAAAGGATGTAGGAATATGATGTAAAATATCTTTAGAACAAATTTGAATTAAAGCAGGGTAAAAAATTTCATCATACCAAAGTTCAAACATATTATTAACTAAAAAACTATTTCTTTTTTTAAAATTAAACATTTTTGGAAAAAAAATTAATATTTTTAAAGGTGTAAAAAAAGTTAATTGTGCAAATAAAAAATGTGGAATATTGCATAATCTAATTTTTTCATCTTTTTGACTAGATGGATTGGTTATAGAATAATATTCATGATTATGGTTTTTTAAATTCCACATTTTGTTTGGATAAATAAAAAAAGAAATAGGTGAAATAATGAAACTTAAAGTTGAAATAGTAAGAAGAAAAGAATCCAAATCAAAGTAATAATCAATTTCATTTAGTGAAACCATTTTGTATTCTTCAAAAGAAATAAAGGGTGGATTATTTAAATTTGATTGTATTCCAAATAATGCAACTTTAAGATCGTCTAAACTAAAATTTGTTAAAGTTGCCGGTAATAAATATTTATCTAAATATTTAGATAAACTAATTTCTGTATCAATAGTTCTTATAATAGAAAAATTATTAACAGGAAAAGTAAAAAGAGAATCAGACATAGAGGTAATACTAGTAAAACTAGTATAATTTATATCTGAATTATTATAATCAAAAAATTCATCATTATTATCACCGATATTACTATCAGTATTATTATCAGAAATTGTTTGATCAGAATTTTCTATTATATTGAGAATTTCATTATCAATAGAATCTAATTCACTTTCAATAGTAAAATCAGAAGAATTATTAACTTCTTCATTAGAGAACATTGGACTTTCCATTGTTATAAAAAGTTTTTTATAATTTAAAAAAATTTAATAAATTTAAATATATATTTTTTATAATTTAAAAAAATTAATTTTGAATTATTAGAAAGTTAAAAGCAACTCTTTTTATAAAAATTTATTTATATTACATAGAGTTAGTTAATATTAAAAACAAATTCGCTAAATAGTTATTTTAGCTAATTTATTAATTTTAGCCAAATTAATTATTGTAAATTTGATTTCGGCCGAAATTTGATTTCGGCCGATATTTGATAAATAATTTAAATAAATTTTTAGTTAATTAGATTAAATTAGTAATTTTAAATTAATTAGTATATTTTATTAATCAAATAAAGCACTATTAGAATAACTAATTGAGTTATTATAAATTATAAATTTTAGTTGATTTAGTTACTATAAATTATTAATTTCGGCCGATTTAGTTACTATAAGTTATTAATTTTGTATAATATCTAATAAAAATTTATAATTACTATATAATCAAATAAAGTATTATTATAGTATTTGAATAACTAATTTAGTTATTGTAAGTTATTAATCCGATTAGTACAATATTATATAAAAATAGATCTATAATTAGTAATTACGTAATTGATTATTAGTATGATATATGATTACTTTACAGAAACTAGTAAATTTTTAATAATATTGTTATGATATAGTAATAATGTACTAACGATTAATACTAATTATCTAAATATATCATTTATAAAATACATTTATAAAAAGCATTTATTTGTAAAATAAATTAATAATAAATAAAAGCTATTTTTTCGATCTATAAGAGATATTAAATTTGAAAAAATTATTTACAAGATGGCTTTATCAAACACAATAAAAATTAAAAATTATTGACACTATGCTCGTTGCTACAATTTGCATATTCAAAAAAAAAGAAAATGCAAAAAAAATTGCCTGGCTTGTAGCATGAAATTGTCTGTTAAAAAACAATATAACAATCATTAAAACAACAGCAATATGTTTTGCAAGAATACTTAATATTCAGTGATGATTTTCTCAAAATTATGCTAAGTAAGTGAATAAATGCAATTATCAAGGGAGATAGATTAGATATAAGGCTACTTGAATTTCAATTTTTACAAAAAAGTATTGAAAACTCATAGAGATATCTTGATTTTTGTTAAAAAGAAACACTTACGTTTTCGCAAATTTTTCTTTAAGAAATTCAATTACGGATTGACTTTGGACAAATGAAATCTCTTGTACGATGATAACAGGGTTTGTAGAGTAAGTATTCATCTATTCATCTGTAAAATTTTACATTAAACAGACAAAAACTCAAGGAGATATTTAGATTTTTCACTTCTCTTTTAGAAACAAAAATTCTTTGATGAAAATTGAGGCGCAGTAGATCATTTGAAACTTGATTTTTCGAACCCACATAATAATATCCCTTCAAATTTCACATACCAATTAAGCATAATCACAGAATTTTTTCTGTAAAGTTTGATGCATATTGGCCAAATATTAAAAAAGATATTACGATTTTTCATTTGTCTTTCTTTCTTCTCTTATACGTTCAAAAATAAAGCATATTAGTAAAATTTTTTTTAGTCAAATTAAATATGTAATATGATTATAATAAAGTTGGTGTGGATAATACTCAAGAATTCACCTGAAAAATTTTATCCAAAACAGACAAATATTCACTAAATGATGTCAAATTTTGATGAAATATTTTTTTTGCAAATTAACTTAAACATTATTTCATTGATAGAGCAAAAACTAGATATTATGAAGTTTATAAATTTATAAATATCATTTTATTAATTTTATTTTAAATAAAATAAAATACATTTTTTTTAAAAAAATAATTTTTTAAAAAATTTAATAAAACAAAAAAAAAATATTTAAAAAAATACAAATTTTTTAAAAAAAAAAAACAAAAAAATTATTGTTTTTTTAAAAAAAAACTATTCAACCGGCTCATATTTATCCCTCATTTCATTATAACTTAAATTTAATTTACGATACTTTTCGTTAACTTCATCAACTTCTTTTTGAAGTTTAACTATATTTTCAACCACCGAAAGTCCTTTATTATATTTTTTAATAGCACTTTTACATTTTTCTTTTAAGGTAGAACAGGAAGAACACATATTATTATCTGAAGCTTTGGGTGGTGTTATTAAATTTTTCTTTATTTCTAATAAAGAAAAAATAACCTTATCAACTTCTTGTTCTAGAGACATCTAATTAAAAAAAAAAATAATAGCAGCTATTAATATTTTTGTTTGCAAACATATATTAAAAAAAAAACTAATAAACTTTATCATCAGTCAAGAACTCAAAAATCGTTGCGCGCTTGTAAAGGCATATAACAACGAGTCGGTTACTCATAAAGTTGTTATATGTGCACTTAATAAATCTAGACCCCAGTTATCTAGCTGAGAAAGTGCTGAATTCTTGACTTTAACTAGTATACTAATCATCTAATACTAAGTTTTTTATAAAAAAAACAAAAATACTAACTTTTTAAAAAATTATATGTTGGGGAAAAGAAAGAAGCGGCGATTTTGTTTTAATGAAAAAAAGATCATCTTGATTTTAAAATAAACAAAATAGTTAGAATATTCCAGCAATTTTTAATCATATGATTTGTTATAATAACAATATAAATTATACTTTATTTTAGCTAATATAAAAAGTTATCGATGATAAATAAATTTACAATATGATCAGCAATATATGCTTAAAGTAGTTTTAATTTATAATATAATATATATAGGGGGCTGGTAATCGTACTCCACATTTGGTAAAAACAAAAAAAATTAAATTTAAGCAAAGATATATCGACACCCACCTGATCAAACTTAATGAAATTTTTTTTATTTAAATTCTACAGATTCGTAGGATTCAAATAAAAAAATTTTGGCAAATTTGGTCATGTGGTCATCAAGATATCTTTGCCCAAAGTCAAAGAAAAATCAAAATGTCTATCAAAATAGAAGCTGTAC